TAGTTTCCTGTGATGACCCAGTAATGCGATCCTATCTTTTGCAATGCATTGACAAAGGTAAAATTGGACCACTTCCAAAACTCCTCCCTGGACGCTTKGTTTAAAGATGCAAAAACTATTGTTGACCTCCACTCCACCTGTCTGATGCCTTGGAACCGCTACTTAAAGAAAACCCAGAAACGAATGGCAGAATGTGAGGGATGTCTGCAACGGTTTCACCAAGATTGCAAAAATATTCCTGAGGAGATGTTTCAGAATGAATTGGAATGGGTTTGTTCGAAATGTTCTGCTGTTTAATTATAACTTTAGCCTCCTTTCACATTCTGTATAGAGAAGTATATCAGCGGCTCATTAGATACTTCGTGACTGGATGTTTATAACAATAGCTTGTATTGTGGGCTCGTTCTTTTGTATTATTTTAAATGTCTATTGTKTAACTATTGAGATATCAAATTGGATTAGTTTATCATGCGGCATATAAAAAGCAAGATACCAACCTTTGTCAAGTTGTAAGTAATTTTTGTAAAGATGTTTTTTTCTTTTTATTGATGTGATTTTATTGCTCTGCTAATCTTGACATGGAGTATAAGTTAAACGCAAAGTTAAKGAAGAGGATATATAGAATTGACGTGAAGGATATATCGTCCAGCCTCGATGGTCAACTTCACTACCGTATTTWCAATGAGTTGATCCCCAAGCTACGCTACGTTCAAAGACGTTCTCATAGATCAGTCCTTTTAATGATCATATATTCTCGCGAAATCAAACTGGAACAGCTTTTAATCGGCTTGAATTTATTGTCACTCGTCACGCATTGCAAGGGGGCGTAACGGCTCTTGATAGAAGATTGTGTCAGGCTCTCTCTCCTTTCTCGCTCTGCCCCAAACCCCTTCAAGAGAGCCTGATACTCAGGCTACAACTCAGACTTTACTAAGGACTTTAGACATAATGTAGTTACCACCGATGTTTGATTTTATTGTTGGATTCCCGATTTTTAGGCTTCATAGATTAATTAGTAGTTGATTGTAATTTTTGAATTTGTATTATTATTGTATATATTTATCTTTACTACTATTGTTAACATTTATATGGAAAAAAACAGAAACTTTCCTTCAGTCYTTCTGTCAAGATGTTGTTGAGAACTTATTTTGGTCCGTTTTTTGTATTTCAAGCGGTGTTCTTCCTGCTCATAGAGATAGAAGTTATCAACGATATTCTGGTTAATGGGGGGGTTTGTCCTACTCAGATTTGATTTCCCCTTTTTTCTTTTCATTTTTTTTTTCAAAAGATATCCTGCAGTTGTTGAAATTCATTTTATTCATTATTATGTAAATAGTAAATGTTTGCGTAAGCAAACCTGTTTTAATTTTTGTACGTCAGGTCAGACATGTAGTCTGCTACTGGTAACATTGTAACCCAGTACAACCTGCCTCATGGACGGGTCGTCGGCGTCTAAACCGGCACCCCCACCAGTCTACACTGGTGAGGAGGGTGGCATGACACCCAGCAGGACTAAAAACAAAACCTTTCAAAGCGCGAATGAGCTTGGTTAAGCCACCGGGCATCATGCAAAAACACTTGTTTATTGTGATGTAAATCTGATTGTTGTACTTTAATTTTTAGTTTGAGATCTTGGGACGGACTGTGCAGCGGCAGCCAGAGGCGCCAACTCAAGCTCACAGTCTACCAAGACTCTCATGTGTTTTGTAGTTGTCATGTAGTTTTAAARCGCTTAGAACAGAATTGGATAAGCGCTATATAAATAGGATTATATTATTATTATTATATATTTATCTTACTCTTTTATTGTAAATATTATTAATCTTTTATCTTGAGAAATAAAGTTATTATTATTATTTAGTGTATTGTGACGTATTTTAATTTAATTCTATACTAGGGTTTATTAACACGCGCTAGTTACATTCATGCGTTAGACTCAACCAAGCTACCTTTCCTTTCTTTCCAACTTTACCAAGCTAATTAACGATCCAGCTATTAAGGCACACCAAAGTATTTGGTATTTTTGTACTTTAGTAATATTCATGTAAGGTTCTAGCTGATTTACTATTAATTATTTAGATCGTCTTATTCAAGCATGTAATTTCTTATTGTAATCTCTAGTTTAACATTTTTTGACAATACTTCAGCGTTAGAACATTTAAATTAGATTAGATTAATAAGATTGTAATGTAGTTTTTTCATCTACTGCAGTTCGAACCACACTCGTTACTCACCATACAACTCAACTTCAATAAACTTATGTGCGTTCGAATCGTGCCACATGTTTTTGCCACCAAATGTAATTGTAGATTACATAGTGTTCGTCAACTATCACCATTGCTTACAGATTAAATATTTGATTCCTAAATAGATGCGGATGCTGAAATAAGTACTGGTGCCGTCSAGGATATAGAAGACAATGAGTCTGCCAATGACCTAAATGGTTTGGATATCGATCTTGGCCTGATCGAGAGAGGGAGTGAATTTGGAAGGTCGATTCTCGATTTCTTTCAGCACCTCCAGAAGCCAGATGGTGGGAAAAGGTAATTCCCCGTGCCCTCGGTATATCAAAAACATCATGATTTTGTTACGAGGCGCTATGCTGAAATTTAAGATGACATTTAAAATATAGGAAATTTAATATTTAGCTTAACTTTAAACATTACAAGTGGATTAGTTACGAGACGCCATTCTGACATTTTGTAGGACTTTTGGTAATAGCAAAGTAAACGTTACAAGTGGATTAGGGAAGGCCAAGGCTAGGTATGGGTGGTCGCGCTTGGATCGAGAGTCGCCGTAGTTCACGCGCCCAACCATGCTCAGCCTGGCAAATAGTATGAATCACGAGTAAAGGTAAAATAGATGTTTTAAGAAAGTATTTGTAGATATAATTTATATTGGAGAGCTATATGTGGTACCATCAGCCAGGGCCACATCCCTCACGGGATGCCACAAAACCAGACAAAACCAACCATTCCCAGAAAGTTCTAATCCCTGGAAAAGGAAAGAATTGGCTGCAAATTGGTGTGGGGTAAATTTTAATACCCCAGATTGTAGCACATATAAGCCGAACAGATTTGTGAAAGAAGTTAGAACTGAGATCACAATAAAAGAACCAAAGAACACCGAAGTTATATTGAATCCACGGTTCCTAACAATTTGAATGTTTTCTTTGGTCTACTTTGTTTAGACGAAGAAATTTGTCCAATTGCATACAAGTTTATAAGCTTGCATTAATGACTTGCAAAAGGGACCCCAGAAACATTTCTGAGCCTTATGTCTCCAAAGATCTGGGATTAGTTTTTCTTACCCATGTTGGGGGAACACAAGACCTACCACAAAGATGCCCCAAAGTGGTAAGACATGAGAATACGTAATTTCTACATATTGATTTTGAACTGACGATTTCGCTTGCAGCTCTCCCCAAGGGGCTTAGCCCAAGCACCTTGCAGTGCTCTTCCACGTTGCTCAAGGAATATGTGAAGTTTGTGAGGAGCTCAAAGTCCTTTTCGAGGTTGCTCTCTGGGCCAGTGAAGGACTGTTTGAAAGGTGAGCAAACCTAAATTGGTACAAGGTAATACAGCACACGTTTTGAACAACTTGTCCATTTGTCGTTGCTAGCATTAGCTGAATCTCAGCCAAAGCATTTGCACTTGAGCACTAGATTAACGATTATAGCGATGTTTTAAACAGATAAACAGAAAATTTGTGGAAGACCAGTCCAATAAGCTTACTGTCGAGGACATGGAGAAAGTCCTCTCATCTTATGCAGTATTGCTTTGCTGACATTTTCTAATGCTACACCGTGTGTTTTTTACTATTTTTTCCAATGCAGC